CGCCAGTAGCCACGGGGAATGAGCATGGCCCTGGGTGAGCTGCCATGTTTTGGGGCCACGTGTTAGGGTCCCAGGGGGTTTAATTCTCCCTCCCTGCACTCTTGGCCATGCCTGAGCGTGGCGGCTGGGAACCGAGCGGCTCCAGAGACCTTAAATAACACCAGAGCATCCTCGCCCTCCTGGCCCCGGGCCTCCCGCCAGCCTCCCAGGAGGGGTTTGGGGTTTTTTTGTGTGAATAAATTAAAACTTCCGAAACAAACCCTCCGACCGCCCTGCTCCTCTAAGGCAAAACAAACCCTGCCTGGCTCAGACGGCACGCAGCCATGTTTGCTTCCCTCCTTGACAAGCTTGCCCGAAACAAGCCGGCAAACCTGGTGCTCTCAGGTTTTTGGGATGTTTCCCGGTGTTCTGAGGCTTGGGAGGTGATAGGGAGCTTCATGTTTGGCTTGGAAGCTTTTCTTGCCGGCTGGGGTGGGAGCAGCGCAGGTAACCGTGTCCTGGCGGCGGCGGGCAGGGTGCTGGCTGCAGCACGGTGAGGCTGTGGCCGCGAGCACTTTTATTTTTAAACCTTATCTTTATTGCAGTTTTCTCCTGCTCTGTTAGGAAAGGCGAAATGCACCTTATCTGGCCGGCCGCTGGCAGCACGACCTGTTCCCGGGGAGGGGAGAGGCGGATGTGCCGCACTGGCAGGCCTGCGGCACCTTCAGCATACCCTGGGGCACCAGGGGTGATGCCGGGCTGATGCTGAGCCAGCCTGGCATACACCCATGGTGGGTGCTGGGTGTTGGGTGGCTCCACTGGGGAAGGGGGGGGGGGTATTACCACCTCCGGGGTGTGTTATCGCTCTGGCCTCTGGCCAGGGGCTTTATTATGGGTTTCTGACGCAGCAATAAAGTAAAGCTGAGCTGGGGACGGGCCCGCAGACACCGAGCCAAGGACAGCTTAGCTGGCACCCTGAGAGCTGGAGCCGGCAGGGCCCTGATCCCAGCCTGGGGATGCGGGAGTGGGGAGCCGAGGGAGCAGCAGGTCCTCGTGCCCATCCCGGGGTGCTGGGAGGGGTCTGGGGTCTTGTGGGGGCCCGTGGAGTGGCAGTGCCCGGGGCCACCGTTCCGTCCATCCCAGGGTGGCTCCAGGCGCTTGGATAGGACCCTTTCTCAGAGATGTCCTAAGGAGCACCCAAGGGTGTCAGGCGTGTGGGGGTGCAGGGGCCATGGGGCTGCCCCTGCAGTGCTCCCCTGTTAATGGTTAATGTGGCCGGGCAGCGGTGGCGGGGCAGGCACCCCCCCCCCCCCCCCCCCCCCCCCCCCCCCGCCCCCGGGGGCCGATGTACCTTGCTGCCGCTGTTTGTTTGCATGCCAGCCACTCCACCCGGGGCCACCAGCTCCGTGGGCCCCGCCGCTGGCCTGCGACACCCAGCTCCCTCCCGGGCTCTCCCCCAGCCACCCCGACGGTGGCTTTGCAAGTGATGGTGTCACCTGCAGTGCCCCTGCTCGAGCTGAGATGGAGGAGATGAGGCTGGGACCGAGCATGGCAGCACCCAGTGCTCCCCCGTGTGGGACATCCCCATCGGATGCTCCCTTGAAGGATGTGGGGTGGCAAGAGCAGACTGGGATCCCTCTTCCCCCCCCCCCCTTGGCCTTTTTAATCCTCTTGGCACCCCAGCCAGGCGAGGGGGGGGTGCTGTGCCTCTTGGCCACCATTTCTGGGAGGCAAAAAGCATTCGGGGAAGGGCAGCATCTCCCACAGAGCCTTGTGCCAGCTCCCAGTGGTGCCTGATGGAGCTTTTGGAGGACGTTTC